ACAAGGTAATTATACTGACAACACAGCTATTTACTCCTCTCCGCACATCGAATATTGCTGTCATATTTAATCAAGTGCTCCTATTATATATTCTTTATCAAATTCTAAACAAGTGTCTGTAATTTAATCGATCCTAACCTGGCATCTTGACATCAGTCACTTTCTCACCGATGTGACGTGGCTTCCCTCTGTCTTTTCTATAAATATTTTCCTGGCAATTATTCTAATGAGTTTTTCATCCTTGGTGCCTCGACTGTGTGAATGTAAGCGTCTTAGTGGTATTATCGCCTTACTTGGGATGAAATGATTTAAAAAAATATTGAAGCTGAGTTAATATTTATAGTACAAGTAGGTGGGCTGAAAAGTTCTTGGTCCGACCAAGAAGAATGTACCATAGAACAAAAGGACGTACCTTGTATTACACATATCCACCTCGTTGTTCAACGCACTGAGCGCATCGTATCTTAAGATGTTTTTTTTTGTTTCTTTTGTTTTTTTTGCTTGTTTTTCCTAACTTTTTCCCCAAAAGATTTGGTTATTGAAATACAAATTTCGACAACTCCTCGTATTTGAACTATATTAATGCTTTTATTGAGATCAACAAATTTTTGATCAGCTGATAATATCAGATTTTTTTTTAAAATTTTGACAGTTTCAAATATTATTGGAGATAAAATAGAGCAGGTAATGTTTCAGATAGACGTTTTTCTCTGCTAATCAAAAACAAAAAAAAATCAAATGGCGTGGACCCAATTAATGGAGATAATTTTTGCGTATTTTGCATCATTAAAATTTTTAGTTTAGTTTTTGATCCCAGACAAAAGTTAAGTGTAACAAGGCTATCTGACCCTCTCCAAACGAACGCTACTAATCATTTCTTTCTACCTGTCATTTTTTTTTCTGATTCCGGTGCCGTTTATGAGTTGATCGATGACGTCTCTTGCTTGTCTGCTTCTTCATCTTTTCTCTTAATTCGTATAAAGCTGCGGCACAACTTCTTGTTTAACATCCACCTACCAAACCCATACCAAGAATGAGATCATCAAGGCCATCAAGTCCCTTAAGTCAGGTAAAGCAGCGGGAACCGACGCTATACCACCTGAAGCATTGAAAACAGACATTTAGACTTCAACTGACATGTTGCACCCCCACCCCGTGCAAAAGATGTGGAAGCAAGAAAGAGTGCCTGAAGAATGAAAAAAAAACGGCCACCTTGTGAAGCTGCTGAAGAAAGAGGACCTATCATCCTGCAAAAACTGGAGAGGCATTATGCTGCTGTCCATCCCAGGGAAAATACTGACAAGAATCTTCCTAGAGAGACTGAAGAGCATGCACAGACCACATCGCCATAATGCGCATCATTATCAAACTGTCCCTGAAAGGGCAGACCTCCGTGTAGTCAGTGTTCGTCGACTTTCAGAAAGCTTTTGATAGTGTCGACAGTGACATCATCTGGAGACTGATGCATCACTACGGCTTTCCACCAAAGTTCGTTACCATCATCCAACAACAGCAAGACATTACCTATATATTTATCCTCATTTAGCAACACTGTGTCAGATGTAATATCGAAATCATAAATAGTTTCCAGTCTTCGGAAAAAGTTTATCGTATAAAGAAAACTTGCACGAACTTCATACAAGACCTGTTCGTGATGGGAGTTTGTTACTTCTAGAATTCTGGAACTTTTGGCCTTTTGTGCGAGATATGAAATGAAACTTTCTCATGGAAAACACAATCTGTAGGATTTTGCTTTAAAACTTTTTTGATTTTTTAACAAAATTTATTTACAAATTGTTCCACTGCCGAAAAGTTTTTGACCGACTGCAGGAACCTTTTTTTTTTAAGCGGTTTTCTTTTACATATTTGTTCTCCCTGGAACACAGTGTAGACGTTTTCTGATGGACCAACTTGATGCAATATAAATACTTTTTGCATTCACTTTACACGAAAATAATCCAAAGCTAGACTATAATCCGACCAGAATATATATAGTGAAGAGATGTCAACTTATATCGATAATTCAAAACTGTTAACATTTAGAAATCAATGGTAAACAATTTTACGATAGAACTCATTATTTATTGATATAATTAAAATAAGAATAAATTAAAATGATACACATTGTTTATTTATACGATCCCTGTGGGTGATGACCGGTAGCAAGTTTTAAAAATCGTAAATCGTCACGTTGCAACACTTCCATCCGACTTCTATTATATCTAATTCGATTCTATTCTGGATTAAACGCAAAAAAAAATTAAAAAAAATACACCAGCCAAATTTTAATCATGAAGCTAAAATCTTTGCCTATAATGTTCCTCTTTGAAGACAATCGATAAGGGAACGAGTAAAGAGAAAAAAAAACAACCAAAAATGTTCGAAATGTTTTTGGGTTATCCCTCACTCCCCCCCCCCCCCATATCGGAAAGTTAAAATACGTTTAACCTTTATCATGGACAATAGTTCGAATACAATTCAAAATAAAAGCATTTAAAAAAAATAACAATCATTGTTTTATATCCGTTTAAAGTTTACAGTTCATTCCTTCCTGAGTGCCATTGAAGTTCTTAGGAAAGTTTAGTAAATACAAAATATAAAATATCAATTAAACATAAAACAAAATCTAAGAAATAAATATATTATTTAAAATTTGTTATATTTAAAGGAAAGAGTGCTCAACATCGGAGATAGAGCGCTTATAGATATAAACACTGTAGTCTTCAGACCAAGTGTGGATATAGGAATCATCACTGCATGGTGACTGTCAGCTTCAATGAGATCTTCAGGCAACACTGTTTATATATAATAGAAATATTAATGATTTGTCGTAAAACAGTTGTTGCCTTAGGTTCTCACTGTGTAGCCCACAATTGTCTCCTATGAAGAGTATATTAACAGCAAGCCCCTCTCCAACAGCGTTCTTTTTTTTTTTAATTTTCTTTAACCTTGACTTTTCAAGGAAAGTTTTTTCAATTTATCTTTTCCTCTCTCAAATCGAAAAAGTGAAACGAAGAACCAATTGTATTAATGTTGGTGTTAAGTATTTTGTGTAAAGAGACTCATAATTTGCTTGAGTCTAAGTTTGGTCATAATGCTTCTGAAATTGCTACCAATATTAACAAAGAATAGGTTGAAGGATCCACGTGACTGGGCAGAGTACGGGGCTAGTTTCTGAAGTTCCACAAATGGGAATACGAGTTTTGAAGATCAGGATGGTAAAAGGCGTTCATCTACAATTGACAATCAACATATGAAAAAAAAATATAAAGGAACAAAACTAAAGTTAAAATGTCAGAGAAGTGTCCGAGATAATGGGTGCGTTAGCATTACAAATGTAACAGACATTCTCTAGAAAACTGGCAAAGTGAAGAAACTTGGTAAACGGGTTTCACATGAACTCAGTGAATGTCAAAGAATTCAACGTTTTATACTGTGCTTGATGCTGCATCTGCGAAATTCAAATGATCAATTTCTTGATCGAATAGTGATTTGTGATGAGGAAATGGATCTTTTATGACAATCGTAAACAATTGGCTCAATAACTTGATCATGACGAAGGATCTAAACACTTTCCAAAACCGAAGTTGCGCCAACAGAAGATTATGGTGACTGTCTGCCGGTGGCCAACCATTACAGCTTTGGGGAACTTAATTGAAGCATCACTACCGGCAACTGGAGGAAATGCACATTCAATTAAGCCAAATGCGACAGAAACAGGTTAATTCTCGGCCACATGTTGCCAGTATGACGCTGCAGAAGCTCACCGACTTGGGGCACGAGACTTTGCTCCATTCACCAAATTCCCCTAATCTTTCGCCCACTGACTACCACTTTTTCAAGCATCTTGACAATTCTTTAAGCCAAAAGACATTCCGTTGCAGTGAAGATTCAAAAAGTACATTCAATGATTTCTCTGAGTCCAAACCTTTGGAGTTTTATCGTAAAGGCAAAGATAACATTGTAGCTTGATGACAGAAATGTGTAGATTTTCAGGTTCATATCTAAAACGCTACTTGGTTTCACAGAGAAAGAAAGAAAGAAAGAATGTTTAACGCCTGTTTCAGTGAATTGGTAAAAGTTGTCAATTTCAAATTTTTTCATTTGTACCCACTTACTTAAAATAACAACCAAAATTCATATATGTATTACAATATTTTGTTAAAGTTGTTAAGCCCAAATATTTAACGATGCGATAGGAGGAATTTCTCCGGATATTTTATTGTCATAGAACTCGCCATCATCTTATTCAATCATTAACTGAAGAATTAATAGGAAAACCGCGAAATTGTTCACGGGTTTTTCCAGTAAATATTAATGCGCATATTATGAAACAGGAAGAGTTAAATTCCAAGAACTGAAAGGATTGAAAAAAAAACTCAATGTCGCCTGACTTCGAGGCTGTGTGCGAATTCTTTGAATGCTTTCAACACGATTTACTTGTACACGAATTTCTTTGATAACGTCTTCAGAATTTAGTAATAATTTTGGATAAATACGCTGACAGAAATGTAAATTTCAACACCCTGAACCCACCTTTAGAATTTGGAAGTTGACATGGCAAGATCGGAGAAAAAAACAAAAAAAAAACAAAAAAAAAAAAAACAATGTATAATTTACAGTTGAAATCTGTGGTCAAAAAAGATTAATTGTAATGTTAATCAGCGAAAAAATAATTCCAATAAAATACATTTCGGGTGATATTTTTCGTTTTATTTTGAAAATATAAACGTCTATATAAAAAGTATTATTTTAATATATTTTCCTATTCTACTTTATTTTTACAGATATAATTTATTTAAGTAATTCTTTTTTTTTTTTTTTTTTGGTAATTAAACGGTATTAATTACATTTACTGGACTGAATGTTCGAGAAATTTTGTAGAAAATATGTGCTTCTCCGACAGGAATCGCACCTGTAACCCTTATTGTGAACCATTATTTTGGTTGAATGGTTAACAGCACATCAGATCAAATGATGTTGCCCATTAAGTGTTACAG